TTTTCAAATATTCTGTCTAAATAAACTGGGAAAAACATGAAGAAAATATTTGCACATGAAACATATCAGAAAGCATGTGAGAACAACACCCCATATGGGCATGGAGTAAAGCTAGGGGGATGACTAAAAAGCAAGATCATGACAGAAAACAAAACCACTGCAAGTTCTTCAGGCCATCTGAAGCCTATGGCACTTGCAATAGTTTGCACATAAACCAAAAGACAATGAAAGATTCATGGAGGTTTTTTGACAATTAAAAGAAATTCTGCAACTTAAGTCAGAATGGCAATTAGTCCCATCAGCCATCCTCAGTGAAGGTTTCAGCAGCATAAATACAAAAATCAAAATACTTAAGACACCCTTTTTCTTTTGAGTAGCCATTCAAAAACAGGTATATGAAATATGACAGTCAGCTATGTATTCATAATGCATACTGCAATACATCATGCTAACAACAAATACAGGTAGTTCCTACTGATCACTGAAATATTCCCTGCTGCTCCAAGGAGAACATGTCATGGAAACCATTGCCAGTGCAGAGCATGGTACCTGCAATCCTAATCAAGGTTTCTTTCTAAGATCTCCACAAACTCCCAACTGATTTTCAGGTAAACAGTAAAAAGTACTGTCTTTGATGGAGATAAACATAAAATGCTCTGGCTGCCCGAAAAAAAAAAAAACCCCAAACAACCCACAACATTTTATCTTTGGGTTCATATTGGAATCACCTTGAACACAAAAACTGTGATTTCAAACAGAAAAGGAGAGGTACCTTGACTGAAGGACTGCCTTACCTCTCTAGCCTTTGAGCTCTCATTGATAGCATCAGTTTCTATTGTGCTGTGCTCTGTACTCTACCAACTTATTAATAGTCAAAAGTGATAGGAACCAGAATTTATTAGGACAAGCATTTTATTAGGGATAAATTGAAATTATGTAATTTTATTATAGGGAAATCAGGCAAAAATGCGTTGATTGAGCTCTCTCTTACAAATCCCACGCGTTTTTTAATACTTTGAGCACATGCAGCTTATTAAAGGTGCCAAAAAAAGTAAAGGTACACTAAAAATCACATGGACAAACAAGAAGTAGATCAAAATCACAGCAGTGCAGAAGCAGTGGAGATACCATTGGCTTGCCTCTCAAAACACAGACACATGCTGTGCAAGCAGCAGTCACAGATCACATCACTTTAACCAAGGTAACCCTTTTTAATTCTTTGCCTTGAAGGGCAATTGAACACAGTGGGAGGAGAGGATGGAAACCATGCCAACTCATAATATTGCCAAAGGCACAGGTTTTTCCCTTAAGTACAATATGCAGAGCTCCCAGTGCAGGAATGTAAGGCCTCCACGCTGTTTTGTAAGGGGCTCTGGTTGGCAGCAACTCTCTTGTGCTGGCACCGGCATCATCTCTGGACTCTAATAACTAACACCAGCATATATGTGCCATGGGTCAAGCTAGATCCCAATGCTGTACATTCAGGTAAACTTATAATCAAGCTCAAGAGGGAAGACAGTCAATGGCAGCAAAGATTATGCTGATACACAGATAGATACTGTGCAGCAAATTTGCACAACTGAATGATACAGGAATTCAAAAGGCACCTGCTGCTTTGTACCTACTTTATGGCAAATGATCAAGGTGTTAAACACAGAGTCAGTGGAACTTGCATCATTTTTGATGGTGTTACCAGTAAATTACTGGGCCTACTTCAAAATTTTACATTATGAAACAAAAACAAAAAAGGCAGAAATCACTTCAGTCATCTCTATTTCACGCAGTAAGCAGCCTCTTGGGGTTTTATACAAGAAAGTTAAAAGTGAGAATCTAGCCTGAATGAAAGTAGAAAATGAACATGCCAAGATGAGTTCCATTATGCACGCCTGATGTGCAACATGTGAAATCAAATAGATTTGCCTACTGGCGCAACTGTCAGCCAAAAACAAATGGCTGCTTGGCTCTTTCTCCAATATACAAAATGCTCAGCCTAAGAGAATACTGCTTCATTTTCCTCAGTAACACAGCCCCATTCGCTTTGCTGCTTCCTTGCCCCAGGGAATCATTTTTATCTGACTACAAAAAGAGAAATCCATCATCCAGTAAGAGGAATTAGCCCACTTCATTTCACTTTCCTGGGATACTACCACAAATACTCAAATAGAAAAGTAATGGGTTTGATAGGAAGGCAAGGGCTTGGGACCACTGAACTTGCTCCAAGTTGTAAGAAGCCAGGCTTGCCCTGAAAGCAAGTTATTGCACATGTTACTTTAAATTTTAAGAAAGGAATGGCTGATTTTCTCTCTTTAGAGGCAGGTATGTATCTTTTAGTCTTTCCAAATAGGAAGGTAAAATCACAAGTTTCTTATTCCGTTATGATGATCAGCAGGGGAAATTTAAAAAGCTGAAATATACCTCAGGAAATGCATTTAAAAACCCTAAACCCCACAACTTGCCACATGCAGCTGGAGACAAATACAAAGTACAATAAATAAATCATTCACAACAGCTGAATCATATCTTAAATTCTCCATCTTCAACTACAGTTAAGGACACATCTCAGACACATTTTGGCAAAATGAGAGAGCCAAGCATTAGGGCTGATTGAGAATTAGAGATTCTTAGACATTTTGAACAAAATGCTGTGCAAGTATTTCCAGCTTTTCTAAAACCATGTCATATCTGCACTCTGCAGTGTATGATGAGGGCTTAACCCTTCAGCAGCCAAACTGAGAACACAAAAACCAACAGCCCTCTTTCCACCCTTTTTGATCATTTTTCTTCCCATTGAGCCTGTAGCCAGGGGAACACAGTGATGTGCATCACAGTCTCACCTACATCAGGTGCTAGAAAAAAATCCACTTTTTCCTGTACCGTTTTAGATGAAGCTATGAACAGTCAGAGTCAGCCTGCCAGAAAACCAGCAGTAAAACTAGGCTCTCATGAAATGGCCAATGTTGGCCCATCCATTCACCACCACCCCCATTTATCTTCCCCAGGAGAACATCATAGCAGTGATGCTCTTTCTTCTTTGGGGATACCACCTAGGCCAGACATTTCTGTTTCTCATGGGAACAGAAAAGGCAAGAGGGGTACATTAACCTTCAGCGAACAACTCCTTATGATACAGCAGATAGGCCCTGTGGTGTTGCCCTGTAGTATTTCCCCTGTTCCTAAAGTACAAGCTCCTCCTGCTGTGAAGTAATTCAGCTGTTCCTCTGTTTCAAGAAACGGAGGTCTGGATTGGAGGTGCTGAATCTCTATGGTGCTGTGTAATATGGGAATTATTCAATTCTCAGCAGGAAAAAAGAAGTAAGCCAAACAGAATTAAGCAGGTGAAGGAATGTTACTATAACACTACAAATAGTCTCTGAATGTGCACTGCTATCCATACTCTAGTTCCACACGCTTTTTCTAAAATACAGTTTAAAGGCCTTGGAAAAGATGTTATGAAGCAGCAGTATAAAGTTACATATAATTGTTGTAATTCACACTAGTTATCTAGAGCTTGCTATTTATAATGGAAAATGCAGCCAGCCAAGTAATTTCAGTTTATTATTCAACTACCATTAAAATCATTGAGGTATTTCTTACAGATCTGTAGTCAGTTCTATTAAAACAAATTAGCATTTCATATCATGTTTATACAGATATATGTTCATACAGATCATATACAATAAATCGCCACTGAATTAGATAGTTTCAGGGAAGCAGTTTGCTTTGTTTTTAACCTTCAGTCTGTTTCACTCATTGATGGGACATCCAGCAACCCTGCTGCCTTACTGCAATCTTACTGAAAGCCAAGGCATATGGGATAACTATCACCAGATAGGGGCTGTGATTTTACTGAAGGGTTTTAGCAATAAGGGGAAGTTGAAATCCATGCTGTTTTCTATTACCTAGACCCTAATAAAACAGTACAGCATAACTGGTTGGTTTAGGTTTGTTTTTTTTAAGAAAGCCGACAATGAAAGACAATACATGCTTTGGCATGGCACAAGTGTAAATACTTCTACATTTAGAACATGGTTTTATTCATATCATCTGTCACTATGCTCACTACTGATGAGAGCATCCCTCAGTATGATTTATTACAAATATTCAGTGAAAAAAATATTTCAAAACTGGCTAACTTAATAACCCTGGAAAAGGCTACCACAGATTTCCTTGTTTCAGTAGTTATTATGTCATGACTGTCATTATGCTCTCTCTGCTGAGAATGGTAGAGTTGTCCCACCTATCATTCATTAGACAAAGTTTTTAAATAAAGATATTGAACCCACTCTCAGAACTGCTTTATTATTGAAAATTTGATTAAATATATGAACTCGCACAGAACATTGCTTGACAAAAGATAACTCTCAGCTGAAGCACCAGCTCAAGAAGTGTGTTTTTAATGCGTTTACTGAATTATTTTTTACAACACAGAAGCACTTAGGGCACCGTGGATAAAAAAGTTACCACAAATAACATCAAAGAGTGGCTGAAAAATATTTTATATGTATGCATATTACATATATACTTAGTTGGAGTAGTTGCACCAATTGTAAATAAACTCTTGTAAACAAACTAAATTAACAGTAGTCCAAAATTCCATTAATTCCCTTCATGTTATTTTAGTCAAGCTATGTTATCACAAACAAAATATTAACAACTTATTGCATAAATTCAGCATTACTCTCAGGACACCAGAAAAATCTTTTACCCCTAAAAATCAGTTTGGTGTGGATATCAAGAAAATAGTATTACACTAAAGTACAAACAAAATATCAGATTAACAAGACAGGATCTCATCTTGTTCTGATGTGAAGGTATATGTTACCTATGTAGTATAGCCTCAGCCTCTTTCACTACAGCACATGGCAATCAGTAGCACTTTGCATTAATTCATAGAGATCTATACAGAATGCAGTAAAATCAGTTAATACTTTCTGCTTATTTTCATTTACACAGAAAGTTACATGAAAAAAAATCCACCAAAAAACCAAACCACCACTTACTTGCTTTTCCCTTTGTACACTGTAGCATAGGACCCTTCCCCTAGTTTTTCCAGTTTTTCATATGAGTCTGCTTTTCCAAACTTGGGGCTTGTGGGCTACACAAAACAAAACAAAACAAAAAAGAGAGATGACCTTTCAGCATGTATTGAGCACACAACATTAACCACTTTGATTCAGCCTTTAGGTACCAAATGTCATTATCAAAACTCACAGACCTGCACGTTTTCAGCAGACAATTAAAAAAAAAGAAACGGAATTAATGAAATGAAATAATAGGCTACCCAAATAAAACCTCATTCAACATCCCAGATGCTTGTTTGCCAATACCAATCATACACTGACATCGCCAGAACTATCAAAAGGATTATGTTCTTAATCAAAGAGATTTCTGGTTTATTTTTCACATATATCACTTCATACAGGGGAAAAAGATAATTAACAACTAAGTCATTTTATCTTCATTAAAAGATTTAAGCAACAGTCTTAATCTGCCCTATAAAATCAGATTAAAAGAGCTGTTTGAATTTCTAAATTTTTTTAAGACTCCCCAAAACATTGCTCCAGGTAGTCAATGCCCCAGTGTATTAACCACTGTTAAAAGAACGGTCAAAATACTAAAGCAGAGCACCTTTTATTAGAGTATCTTGATTCCAAATTATGTTCACAGTCCTCAGACTGTGGATATAATCACACCATACTTTTAACAGCATGTATATCCAGCATAATTGAATGAAGTCCTGTAGATCTAAGATCCCCCTTAGGTAGGAGTCTAAAACCAAACCAAGGTAAGCCATGTTTTTTGCTCAAAGGGCTAGATAGTTCAGCTGGCTTTCGCAACAGATTGGTACTTGCCCCAGTTTTACGAAGGCCTAACAGAGGACACCACAACTCTGCAAAAACAGAAATTCACCTGACATGAAAACTTGCCAACTAAGTTCTTTGAAAATGTTTGAGTTTTTTGAAGTACACCCCTTTTTCCCAAATTTTCCCATTTTCCAGCTGTCTGGAAGGAAAGGGCTTTTTATTTTTTTCCCCCAGGACAAGAAGGACATTGCAAAAAAACTGACCTACACCTGCTCTCAGTGTTATCTACATACAATTTAGACTCCAGTGCTCAGATGCCCTATACCTAAACCAACGAAAAGAGTATAGAGTAGAAACTCGGAAAGGTTAGCACTGATGCTAAAATCACATACATGGCCTGATTTGTTAGGATTCTGGTTATAACACTACAAAGCAAAGCAGACAAGCAAATCCAGCAGCATCTTTAGGGTTCAATTCAACAAAGAGACTCTAAGCCATGTGCAGCTGCATGCAGTCTACACTTGCATTCAGGATCTTAGAATCACAGAATCATAGGATAGTTAGGGTTGGAAAGGACCTTAAGATCATCAAGTTCCAACCCCCCTGCCATGGGCAGGGACACCTCACACTAAACCGTATCAGCCAAGGCCTCATCCAACCTGGCCTTGAACACTGCCAGGGATGGAGCATTCACAACCTCCCTGGACAACCCATTCCAGTGCCTCACCACCCTCACAGTAAAGAATTTCTTCCTTATACCCAATCTAAACTTCCCCTGTTTAAGTTTTAACCCATTACCCTTTGTCCTGTCACTACAGTCCCTAATGAAGAGTCCCTCCCCAGCATCTTTATAGGCCCCTTTCAGATACTGGAAGGCTGCTATGAGGTCTCCATGCAGCCTTCTCTGCTCCAGGATGAACAGCCCCAACTTTCTCAGCCTATCTTCATATGGGAGGTGCTCCAGTCCCCTGATCATCCTCGTGACCCTCCTCTGGACTTGTTCCAACAGTTCATGTCCTTTTTATGTTGAGGATACCAGAACTGCACACAACACTCCAAGTGAGATCTCACGAGAGCAGAGTAGAGGGGCAGGATCACCTCCTTCCACCTGCTGGTCACACTCCTTTTGATGCAGCCCGTGATACAGTTGGCTTTCTGGGCTGTGAGAGCACACTGAAGCTGGCTCATATTCATTTTCTCATTGGCCTATACCCCCAAGTCCTTCTCTGCAGGGGTGCTCTGAATCTCTTCTCTGCCCAGGCTGTAGCTGTGCCTGGGATTGCTCCGACCCAGGTGTAGAACCTTATCTTATGACCAATTTAGAAAGAGTGCTCAAGTTCCAGTTTTTTGAAAGGAAACAAACATTACAGTACAGGACACATTTGTGTGTAAATACCTTTGAAACCATGGTTGAAAGTTTCAAATCAACTGAGCCTAAAAACTGTACTTCTATTTAAGCAGACAAGAGCATCTCAGGTAAAATTACTTGGTACCTCACACCTCTTCACTATAACCATTTACAACTACACATCTCCACTATAACCATTACACCTCTCCAATTAACCATTAGCCAGAATATGCAAAAATTCTCTTTACTGAACAATTCTACATTTGTCCTAAGCCAAAATTCTGGAACTTTGACGTATATACACCTAGTTTTGAGACTAACATCCAAGCTTCCTATTGAACGGTATCAGGATATACACATGTATGTTTGTAAAATTGATCCCTTTCACCTCCCTCCGATACACTGAACAACCTATTATTTTGCTATGCAGTTTCTAAATATTACTAGATTGATGAAAATTTGTCGTATGGGAACTCCCAGATCTTTTTCCTGTTACATTATTTGGAACACTTTATTATAGATAAGGCAGTAATATTCTTGGTTCCCAATCTGTGCTCAAAAATGAATTCTGCCTGGTTAGAAATTATTTTTTTTAAATTAAATCATGGTTTTTTTTTTAAATATGTCACTAATAGAGGTGAATAAAATATTTATTCAAGTAGCCTTCTCATGTAAGCATCCAATTACGGACTAATGCAACATTTCAAAACTACAGAAACAAGTGTCTCCCATGTAAGGAAAAGGGAAAGCAAAGTATTTCCTAAATTACAGGCTGCAGCAAACACACAGCGAGTAGCTTTGTTTGGAATGGAAATGCTAGTTAACAGTGAATAGTTCACTGTTGGTTTTCCCAAAGCAAGACAGAAAAAGGACAAGGTTTATACATGTGTTTCACATCCACCCTTATTTTCACACTGAGATTTACTTTCATTTCATACTGCTAGAAACCATAGTGTAAAGGTCACAACGACTTTTAACCTGGAAAGAGGAGGATATCAGCTGTGTGATTTTACTGCATATGGGACAGGCAGTGGCTAAGGGGTTGAGATTCTGTTTGTTTTCTGGTTGCTTCTGGTCTGCTCTTATCCAGCATGAGCAGGCACTGGATGAGCCGTTCAGGCTGCTCTGGGGAGGGTGGCAAGTCAGCCTTGCTGCTGCAGGGCTGAGCCCTGGGGCACTGCGTGGGGTTGCTCCACAGTGCAGCTCAGCTCTTTTCCAGCTGGATCACTAGATGGAATTGCCCAGGTTCTCACAATATTAGATCTCCTTTTGTGAAAATGGACACTATTTTTCCTTGCATTTGTAATCCTAAAAGGCTTACAATTTTTGAAGGTATCTGGTGTAGAAAAGCACTTCAGAGGCATCGGAAGACTAATTTGCATGGTATTTCTTAATGAAACACCAAGCCAGATCTCACTCAGCACATGAAATGACTTTAGAAATTGAAGGAACAAAATTACCATTTCCCCAATGTTTTCTCATTTTATTTTTAAGTGAAGCCTCACACATTAATTCAAACTTACAATTACAAATTGCTTATAAAGGTAAGAAATTCAGACACTTCTCATCTTTCATTTCTGTATTAAAAGGAAGTAAAGTCTGGCAGAGATAAAGCAAAAAAATACAAAACTTCCCAAAAATTCAGTTTTAAGCTTAAAGGGATCTAACTAAAGGGCTATGGAAGAAATTTAAATAAACTGAAGTTCTGTGTGACTGTTGAAAATTATAACCATTTCAGCCAGGAACCCCAGGTTCCTTTCCACACAGCTGCTCCTCAGCCAGGCAGATCCCAGCCGGTGCTGCACTCTTGGTTTGTGCTCCAAGCACATGACCTTGTCCTTGTTGAACATAAGTTTTTTGTTATCCCACTCTTCCAGCCTATCCAGGTCACCCTACAGCACAGATCACCCCTTCAAGGTGTTCACTTCCTCACTCAGATTGGTATTGCTGGAAAATTTGGTCATGGAAGAATGTTATCCCCAAGAGGACACTGGCAACTGGAATGCAGAATGGTGCACCTCTTTCCCTTCAGGAAACCCACTGGGAGTTTTACTTGTTTGCCTTTATGTCTTTTTCCTCCCAGACAGTTTCCATTAAGGTCGTTTTCTTATTATTAGACTACATTTTTCTCAGTGCAAGATTAGTCTAAGAGCACCACTGTGCACTAGGAGTGAGCATCTTTAGCAGCAGAGCTTAGAGTAATCAAGATTAGATGTTTTTGTTCCCTGCAGTTAAGGAAATACAGATCATAGTAACAAGGATAGAAACAGTATGCCAAATTCTTGAATACAGAAATAGCAGAAGCTAGTATTTCAAAGTGATGCGAGAGTATTAAAAATAACAGAGAGAAAAAGAAATGAGAGGAAAGTGACTTTTCTGACCAGGTCATTTCAAATAGACGCTTCACTCATATAGCCTGTAGGAGGGATAATAGATTTAATCAAAGATCTTGCAATACGAGTCCTTGCACTACACTGCCATGTGAATACCTCTATTAGAAATTTTCAAAATCCATGTAGTAAAGAAAGCTTTAATGGAAAATTACACTGAAAATCACCTGACTATTCTTATAGAAGCTGTGTGGGTTATGTTCTCATGCATTTTTCATAACAGCAAAACAGCTTGTGAATGTCACACTTAACTGTCACACTCCCGAGCTGAAATTTTAAATAGACCTTTAAAAAAAAAACAACACCCAAAAGCACAAAACTGCAGAGTATTAAACTTTGACATAAAACCATCCTCAAGGGAAAAATATAATGCTCACAGTACCACTGTAATTTATTGAAAGTCAAATCTAAAGATCTGTTCTATGCCTCAAAAGAAATCAATCATTGCTAGAAAAACTTCAAAGTAAAAGGTAGGCCAAGAGGCTTAACTGAGATTAAATCACAAGAACAGAAGATATTTTTTTTACCATTTTATATTTTGTTTTCTTTGACA